AACACAAGTTACTAACATAACAACACAAAGAAAAATGAAAAGTAATTCAAAATACAAACATAAAATCACAAATGACAATGAAAAGTAACACAAGTTACTAACATAACATCACAAAGGACAATGAAAAGTAATTCAAATTACTAACATAAAATCACAAATGACAATGAAAAGTAATTAAGTTACTAACATAACATCACAAAGGACAATCAAAAGTAATTAAGTTACTAACATAAAATCACAAAGACAATGAAAAGTAATTACGAAACAAACTTACGAATTAACGTTAATCGACAGCTGATAAATAATTTAAAGGTGCAAAGCAGAAATTTGAGGAAGGAAGTGTGAAGAATTGTGTTCTCCGAAACAGCCTTTTATAGGCAAATTTTGCAGCAAAACCGCTTGGGGGGGGGGGAGCGGTTTTATGTCTGCCATGCAGCCCTACCCCTGCATGCCGACATGTCGGGTGTCGGGTGACCAGGCACAAACCGCGCCTCGGGGGAGCGGTTTGTGTCCTGACATTTTAAACCGCCCCTTTATCAGGCGGTTTGTAATGCCGACATTTAAACGCTTCCTCTTAAAGCGTTTTGTGGTAGGGTTAGCCTATAACCGCGCGTCCCAGAAGCGGTTTTCTCTGCAAAATAAAAACGCGCGTCCAAGGAGCGGTTATAAGGGAAACCGCGCCTCTAGGCTGCGGTTTCAATGAAAACCGCTCATCAGAGGCGCGGTTTTATATAAACGATGGTATTTTTGGAAATTATTTGGTGAGGGTGGTATTTTTGTAAAAAAAAATTAAAACAGTGGTAGTTTTGGATTTTTTCCAAGAATAAAAGGAGATATGAAGATTGGAACCCAAAAGCATTTAGATTCATTTCTTTGTCAAGTTCACGTTTTCTAGTCTTTAATTATTCACGTTTAGCTTTAGTTTTCGAGTCGGGAGGGAGCCATGTCATTGAGTTTTGAATACCTCAAGTTAGGGCTGGCTATTTGGACCGGGACCGGATGAAAAATCGGAAACCGAACCGTATAACCCGGACCGGGACCGGATAGTAAACAATCCAATCCAATCTTTGGGCTTAGATTTGAGGTAAAAAACCGGATAAAGACTGGATAAGAGAGCTCAACACCCAAAACTTAAGGGTAATTTGCATAAACGGTCACAAACCTTTACACTTAGTACAAAACTTAACCAACTCCTCACCCTTTTAGGCCTTAGGCCTTTCAAATTCCCACAATCTCAATATAAAATCAAGACCGAATTGGGACCGGACCGGGTCAAGACCGGACCGGATCAAGACCGGACTGTATCCAATCCAATCTTCGGTCCTTATATTCTCAAAAAAACCGGACTGGACCGGATCAATTTGGGCCAATTTAACCGGACCGGACCGTATAGCCACCCCTACCTCAAGTTACGTGAGCAGCTGCTTCAAATCACCAAGAGCTGCCTGCGAATGGTAGAGGACAAGAGCAGCCTTTTCCCACTACACGGTCCAGAAGAAGAATCAGCGGCGCCGTTCTCCATCGAGCACGGTACGGACGACCCCTCGATGGGCGACGACGACGACTCAGGCGATGAGATAACGACAATGATTCCACCTAAGCTAATCGTCGATACTATTAGCAAGGACTTTGCTAGCTTGGAACGTTGTGTTCCGGAGAGAATTACAGAAGAAGTGCTAGTTGCCCCAGAGATTCAAAAGATCTTAGATGAGTATAACGATCTTTTCACAAAGCCAATAACCTTGCCCCAACACGGATGGTAGATCACTGCGTTTAGTTAACTGGATGGATAAACGTCGCCCTTGTTTTACTATTATCGTCCTAACTTAAAATGTAAAATTACTAAGTGTCCTTCGCTAATCAAATCAAATTCAATAAAACAAAACCAATTTCCATTCGCCACAATTAAGACCAAATAGGGAAACTGATTAATCAATACACATGTTACCCTCTCACTTTCAGTGATCTTTCCTATTCCCTCGAAAATTTTCTCCCCACCCAGCCGAGCTCTTGCTTACACAATATATTCTCAAAACCATTCCAAATTTGCCACTGGAATCACGAAGCCCAGCAAGAATTACCAGACTCACTCCGAAGCTCTGTTTTGATATTCAGCGTACTGGGTTTTCTCCCATGATCAATTTGATGATGGGTTTGTTTGTTTTCTATTTTGGATTACTTTTGGTAGGTTACTAGATTTGCATGGAGAAAGAAGAGAGGCGGTGGGTGGAGACTCCAATGAAGAGCAAGTTCAATATGGATCCCATTCAATCGACACGGTGGCGGACGGGGGGGGGGGGGGGGGTGTCAGGGCGGTGGTGGTGGAAATGAAAACCGTCGTTAATATCAAAAATTGTCAGGATGGATTTTGTTTCTTAGAATAAAATATTTTTAACAATAAAAAAGAGAAGGATAAAAGGGTAATAATAATTTATAATTTAGGATGATTTCTAAAATTAGGGTGACAATTAGCAACTCCCGTAGTTAAAAGAAGGGACAAAAGTAATCAATGTTCCATATCGATACGCTTATTTTTCAGAAAATCAAAATAGAGAAGCAAGTAGAGGAGATGATGCAAGCAGGAAAAAAGGCAACACTTGGCAATTCTACACTGATTATTCGGGCCTTGAACAAAGCGACCATCAAGGATCGGTTCCCGATCCCAACGATGGAGGACATGTTGGATGAGTCACACGAAGTTTAGTTCTGTACCAACCTAGATTTGCAAGCCAGATATCACCAATTTTGTATGGCACCGGAATACATTCACAAGATGGCATTCTGAAAACGTAATGGTCATTACGAATATTTAGTAATGTCATTTGGACTATTCAATGCGTCATCCACATTTCAAGCAGCCATGAACGATATATTTCGACCACTGCTTCAAAAGATAGTCCTAGTCTTCTTCGATGATATTTTGGTATATAGCAAGGATTGGGCATCTCATTTGGAACATCTAAGGGTCGTTTGGGATATTCTACAACAACAACGTTATTATCTCAAAATGGCTAAGTGTTCATTCGGCCTCAGGGAGTTGGAATATCTAGGCCATATCATATCAGATACAGGAGTATGAGTAGGCCAGGGGAAGGTAGCGGGCTAGCGGCCATGCTCGATTGGCCTACGCCGACCAAGATTACGGCCTTGCGGGGATTCCTAGGGCTAACGACTACTATAGGAAGTTCGTTAAAGGCCGCTCACAGATTTGTTGAATAAAGGTGGATTTGGGTGGAGGAATAGTGTTTTCATACTCAAAGTATGCGGTACCCCGAATTTTACCCTGAAGTATAGTATATATATAATGCACTCTCCGCACTTACAATATCAATTCATCAAAAAACATTTGCTCATTGTCTTGCTCATCTATTACGAGTTAAATATGTATATAGATGACTTATTGGGTTCTGGCCAACTAGCCGGGTATAAAGCTAGTGACATAACCAAGGTTGCCAAACCGGTTTAAGTCATTGAGCCAGTTAAGTAAGGGGTTTGAGGTTTAATGGTCTAATCGTGGTTCGGCCGCCCGGTTTGAGCCGTTTAATGGTCTAAATATACATACAAATAAGGTAGTGATTAAATATTTAATGACTGAAATGAAATTTATCTTACATGTATCTATTAAAAACTTATTTTTCAAAAAATAAATCTATCTAACCTTGATAACCCACCCATCATCTCTAGGGCTGCAAATGAGTCGAGTCGTGCCGAGCTTTACCCCAGGTTGAGCTTGACTCGTTAATAAACAAGCTGAGCTCGAGGTCGGGCCATTTATTAACGTGCCGAGTCGAGTTTGAACTAAACTTGTTTAGTAAAATCTTGAGTTGTATTTGATATTTCATTTTGTATGTCATGTATGATACATGTGATTGATGTCATGATGATAATAATAATAATAATAGAATGCTTAATATTAACTAATATCATATTATACTTTGTTGATATCATATTATGTAGTTAATAAATTTTAACTAGTCCAAATCAAGTTATTTAATAGTATAGAAGCAATATGTGATATAAAATCTTTTTCTTAAACAAAAAAATTTATATGCTCACATACTTAATGTGTTAAACTTCATATAGAGTGAGATATATAATTTAACAATCATATGAATTAAACTCATAAGATATAGATCGATTCACCTATAAGTCGGTAATCAAGTTGACTCTCTAGCCACAGTGTGAGACATCTCATGAGCTCTAAACGAGCCAGCTCACGAGTTTAGCCCAACAAGCCATCGATTCGAGCTAGCTCGCCAACTTCACGAGCTGAACAAGGGTTAACTCATGCTCGACTTATTAATAAACGAGTCGAGTCTCAAACATGTTTTTTCTGAGTCGAACGTCAATGCGCTTGCGAGCTGTTCAACTCATTTGCAGCCCTAATAATCTCCCTTCCTTCGTTCCTCTTCCTCTCGTTTTCTTCCTCTTTAGGGGTCAGACCGAATGACTTTCTGCAAATCGTTTTGAACCCCGAATTAGATCAGATTGGGTCCAACTAGAGGTCTGATAGGGGGATTTATCAACCTTGGACATAACCAATCCATCCATCGCAAGTTTGTCAACCCTCGGGCTGACCAGGACCCGGTCGAGCTAGTGGGTCAAGGGTTAATGGGTCACCCGTTTTAGCACAGTTTAGCCCGGAAATATGGAAAGAGTCATTATATTGTACTTATCCTGATAAATTATTTCAAATCTCATCTAACATATGAGTTATAACATATAATATTACACCAAAATAACATGTCGTACTTAGATCCAACATATAGTGAAAATTCATACACACTTACATAACATCAATATTCAAATATTCAACTTAGGATTCCAAAGATTGAGTTAGACGAAAAGAAAAATCGGAAAATAGGCACATTTCGCAGATAAAAAAAATGACACAATTTGAATTCAAACCCGGTACCTTGTATCGATCGACTTGACGGGTACGTGCGGCCCATTTTTCTTACCAGGTCAGCGTCAAAGTGGGTCAACTCGCAGATCGACCCGCAGGTTGACAACCTTGATCCATCGTGTCAACGGGATGTTGAAGCCAAACGCGCTTTCGACGGACGCGTTAGAGGAGGAAGAAGAAGTTTCTACCAAAAGAAAAGAGAGGAAGAGGTATGTGGGGACCACTATCTTAGTCTTTGGTTTGCTCTGCCCGCCCCAGAGATTAGTCTTCGCGACGATTTAGCGCTCCGACGAGCTGTGCTTTGGTGAAAACGAGGAACTCGTGAAGAATGGGGAACTGCTGCTCTGACGAGACCGGCGGCAGGTCGGCGTTTGGCGGTACTGGTGCTTCGGCTACCGGCGGCGGTGCTAATGATGCCGTTGATGAGTTCCTCAGGTACCGCGGCTTCCAGGGACTCTTCTCTCAGATCGAGGTCCTTGCCCTCTCTCTTCTACTCCCTGCCTCTTTCTTTTCGCTTTTCTTCTCACGGACATGAAATGTTTAAGTCAGCTTCAAAACGTAGCTAGCTGGAGAAGGTTTGCTCTGTCTCTGTGCCCGTTCTCTTTCCTTTTTTTGAATTTCAGAATCGCTATAGAGCTAATTGTTTGCGAGATTGAGCTCTGTCTTGCTCATGAGTTGGAGTGCATGATTGGGACGGAACTTAGTAGAGAAAGTTGTTGCCCTTTGATGATGTGATTGCCGGAAAACAGAGAGTGGATTAAAGCGAAGATGAAATCTGAGATTTCTCTTCACTAACTGCTCTCGCTTGCTATTTTGCATTTGCAGTTATCTTTTTCTGCAACCAACTTGCGCGACCGGGATATGATTTCCAAGGTCAGCGTGATACTTCTTTCCCCCTTACTATTTTTAGGAATGCTCAGTTGTTCTGTTATGTTGTTTTTCTACTCTCGAAATGAGAATTTTGTGCAATTCAATGGATCGTGGATCTACGAAATGGTTGCACTGTATGCCCAGATTTCTGCATTACCGCTCTTTGCCCTAAACTTCACAATGTTGCCCAATAGGTATATAACTAAGTTAAAACTTCACCAATAAGATGGCTGCTTTCTAGCATTAGTTTTCGACTGCTTTCAGTTGTATGAAAAATTAACTACTCCAGGTAGCCAATGTGATGTTCGTGGTTTATTGTCTTTGTGGTAATTCATTGCATCAAGGCTGGACCAAAATGAGGGACATACAATTTGATGCTAAGACTCCTTAAGCATTTAGTTTCTTGAATGCCGATAAAATTTGCATGTCTCATCATCATGGAATAACTATGCTAGTTGGTTTTGGTCTTGGCAGTGGCTCCATAGTTTTGGTGTTGGTTTTTTTTTATCATTCTATTTTGTACCTTCAGTTTCTTACTGTAGAAGTTTACTTGCTTTAGAGTGATCCTATGATGGTTGTCTATACGAAAGGAAGAGATGGAGCCCTTACTGAAGCTTTCCGTACCGAGGTAGTGCTCAATTCTTTGAATCCGTCATGGATCGCAAAATATACAGTCACATTCCAGTTTGAAGTTGTTCAAACTCTGTTGTAAGTTTCATCCGTCTCTCAAATTTTGTTTCACATGCATCTTCATCACTGTTATTTGGTCAAGTTAACATTAGTGCGTACAATGTACTACAGGTTTCGCGTATATGACATTGACACTCAATTTCACAACGTGGATGTTAAGGTATGGATGTAAGTTGTGTCTACTTTGTTCCTGATTGCTGAAAGTTTCAACAACCGGCCATCGGTTAATGTGGCTATATGTTTAGATTCGATTACCACCCAAAGATGGAAGGACTCTGAGTCGGGGTCACTATTCTACAAAATGACAAAACCACTTTTTCATTGTTGTAGATTGAAAAGTGCTCTCAGTTGAATTTCAAATTGTTATCGACTTGTTCCCTGCAATTAGACCATTTAAGTGTTTCTCTTTTTGTCAATGTAAGAAAAAGTCATAATAGCGTAATATTTTATGAGGCATTAGAGAGAATTGAGAGACGAAGTTATAAGCTCAACTTGTCTGCAGGGTTCAAAAATGTGCACTTAATCTTACGCTTAGACGTGCCTAGGCACTAGGTAAAGCTAAAATGCATTCCCTTGTGCTTTCACGTCGAGTTATGTATCCTGAACGCGGTGGAGTAAGGCGACACCTAGGTTTAATTAGGCGAAGCTAGACAATAAATATCAAAAGAAGGAAATTCACATAATCTACAAAATCAATCTTCTCTCTCAATCTTTTCAATAGGTCAAGAACTTTGTGAGTTATTGAGCTATGATTCTATGACTTGTGAGCTATTTTCTTATTGCTAAGTGTTAAGTAAGTTACTGTATTTTTGCTTAACTCCTAAGTATTCTTAAGCGACGTCTAGGCGAACTAGACGCTAGGCGAGGCCCCCACGCCCGCCATACGCCTTGCTCCTTTTGAACGTTGTCTGTAATTGACCATGGATTTGATTGATCATGACAGACACTTAAGCTAGAGGAACAACAGTTTCTTGGTGAAGCCACATCCATATTGTCTCAGGTATAGCATAATATTGGTCAAGTTTACGTTAATATGTACTACAGATTTTTTGATAACTAGATTTATATATATTTAGGAATCTGAGTGGATTTGGAAAGTTGGAATGTAAAAATGTTGTTTGCTTTGCTAAAAGATTCAGATTCTTCTAAACAGCCAATTGGTTTTATGTAGTTGCTTTAGTTATAAACCATCTTGTCATTATCTTTCTTTCCATAGATTGTGGCCAAGCCAGACAGGACCTTGACCTTAAATCTTGTACAAATAGAAGATCCAGGCCATCCTCGAAGCAGTGGACAGCTTATTGTGCATGCTGAGGAATGCATTAGCTCAAAGACTACTACAGAGATGACATTAAGGTGTTCAGACTTGGAAAGCAAGGATCTGTTCTCAAAAAGTGTATGGACTACTCTGAGTTGTTTCTCTTTCTTTCATCTGATATTTTGAAATGTAAATTATACAATGAAACATACAATCATCTGCAGGATCCTTTTCTGTCAATATCAAGAGTTACTGAGGGTGGGATGCCAGTAGTTGTGTGTAAAGCAGAGGTGATAAAGAATGATCACAACCCTACCTGGAAACCAATTTCCTTGAACATTCAGCAAGTTGGAAGCAAGGTAAGCACATTATGTCGTTTCTGTATACTAACTAGACTGCAACTGTCTTATCACTCCATTCAACCTTCGTTTCAGGAGGATCCAGCCCTTTTATTATTGGTTCAATTTTCAAGAGCTAAGTTTCGGTTGCTTGATACAATGAATGACAATGTTTTCAAAGGCAACTACATCCTTCTCTACTTTTTAAACTCAATACTTGTGCATTCTACTTTCTGACGGAAAGCTGCTGAAGTGTGTATCTGCCACTTATCACATAGAAAGAACATTCTGAATGTTCAAATTTTGCAAGTAGGAAATACTGGCATCTGGTTTTGTAGATGGAGAACTGTCCCTTTAATCTGCTAGAACCTTTGTTCAGTGCAAAAGTAGGATAGTTATATAGACGAATATCTGCCCCTCTTTGAATATGTATTCTTAACATTGTATTGCTTGAAACCGGCAGGACAGTCCATTGCTCATACAGTGCTTTGACTTCAATAGTAGTGGCAAACATGATTTGATTGGGTAAGTAGAGCTTTCCTTCTACCTTCCCCTTGGGACCTTTGTTTGTAATTCTAAATGCATGAATGCTGACAGTACTTTTTCATTTGTTTGCTACCAGACAAGTTCAAATCTCACTAGCAGGGTTGGAAAAGCTTTGTTCTAGCCAGGAAGGAGTTTATTTGTCTTTGCTAGAAGTTGGGCATAATCGAAGTACTAAGGTCTCTTTGACATTAACTAGATCAGAATGCTAATACTGTTATTGCCATTCATTCCAATGATCACATTTTTACAACATTTTGCGTTTGAAAGCAGGTGCTTAAGAGCCAGCTTTGCGTGGACAAGTTCTCAGAGAGTATACAACATACCTTTCTTGATTATCTGAGAGGAGGATATGAACTGAACTTCATGGTGGCTGTTGATTTCACAGGTACCTGCTTTTTTATTTAACATCTGAAGAATGAAGGGCATCAATAGCCTTACTTGGAAATACAGGAAATATATGTTACAATCTGAAGCGGAAATCTATAGGAATCTAATCATGTAGGGATCTGAAATCTGAATGAATTGGATTTAAGGATTCTTTCAAGCTGGTTCACGCTTATAAAATGTATGAAATGAGTCAATGACCCAACAAAAGTAAGCGTTGAACCCAATAAAACTGATATAGTAGCACTATGCATGATCTATAGGTTTTTGCAACATAATAATAACCTGACTTCATTCTTCCGGGGTAGCCTTAGATGTATGCGGCAAGGTTCCTCGTTATGAAAAAACCCGCCTTCATTTCTTGTTTTTTTGTCTTGCTATTTAGTATTTGTTTTTGCATTGATAAGGATGGTAAAAGTGAATGAACTTTATGTTCACTTGTGCTTTTTTATTTGGTAAAGAGGTTCACCTGTGTGTAGCAAAGGGGCTTGTCACTTTGACAACCCTTTTTAAGAGAATTTGAATGCGTGCAGCAGTTGTAATTGCCTTGTTATGTTCGGCGCTGTAGAATTTCCACCATTACATGTCCCATCATTTTAAGCTTAAGATTAGAGATACATGGATGCTAAATCTCAAAAGAGATACTAAGATGGTACACTATGTGATTCAATATTTTCTGATTCTGCGTGTTCTCTTTTCTCATATGTAAGCTTCAAATGGCAATCCTCGACTCCCTGATTCTTTGCACTATATCGATCCCTCTCACAATATGGATCTGTTAACTCGGCCAAATGCGTACCAGAGAGTAAGAGAATGATCGTGTAGATTTAACTGTTCCTATGTTTTCTTTTGCTGGTCATCTATATCACCCAAGCTGTCAAACCCTTTCAGGCGATCTTGGAGGTTGGAGAGGTGTTGCAGTTTTACGATTCAGATAAACGATTTCCTGCCTGGGGATTTGGAGCACGGCCAATTGACGGTCCTGTCTCTCATTGCTTTAACTTGAATGGCAGCAACTACAACCATGAGGTCAGTCACTGTTCTTCTTTTGTTGCATCTAGGGTGTATTTTTCATTTCATAACCCGTGCTAAGAATGCTGGGTTTGCTTTCTGTTTTCTTTTTCAGGTGGAGGGGCTCCATGGAATTTTGATGGCATATTCAAGTGCTCTCTACAATGTTTCTTTTGCAGGGCCCACCCTTTTCGGGCCTGTTATCACTAAAGCCGCAACAATAGCGAGCAAATCCCTTGAAAATGGAGGGAGAAAGTACTACGTTTTGTTGATCATTACGGTAAGGAGTCCACTAGTACATGGATGATTGATCAATCAATCAGTTAGTTAGTTAGTTAGTTAGAGCTCCGTTGGTTCTAGCATAACTTTTGCAGGGTTCAATCATTCCATGATATATCTTGATAAGTTGTGCATCTTTGGATTCAATTTCGTTTATGTTACAAAGGAATACCAAAACCATTAAAGTTGGTGTTTGTTTTCTGATAGAGAATTTTTGCATCTTTTCTTAATTTCTCCAAATCTCTAATTCCATGGTGATTTTGTAGGATGGGGTCATAACGGATCTTCAAGAGACGAAAGATGCCATAGTGCAAGCATCCGACCTTCCGCTCTCCATCCTTATTGTAGGCGTTGGAGGAGCTGACTTCAAAGAAATGGAGGTATGTACCTTTGTTTCATTATGTATAGGGCTTGTATTGTATGAGACAACTCGTTCTTACCGCATAAAATCAGGGCTGAGTTGTGTACTATTGCAACTGCGTGTGCAGATTTTAGACGGTGATAAAGGAGAAAGACTTGAAAGCACAACCGGTCGCGTTGCTACGCGTGATATAGTTCAGTTTGTACCATTGCGGGATGTACAGAGTAAGAAATCTATATAGTTTTTTCACCTCGCCCAATCCAACTAGCTTCTTTACTTATGAATGGACCGGATCGATCTGACCATCCTCAAATTTCTATCTTGCAGATGGAGGAGGGATCTCTGTTGTCCAAGAACTTCTAGCAGAACTACCCAGCCAGTTTTTAACCTACGTGCGGGCCAGAAAGCTTCAGCCACATTCTTGATAAACCACAAAAAATGTGTACATATGGAAACTATTAGTTACCATACAAGAGGGAAAAAGATATCCCGGCTGGCGTTCTTATTTCTTTGTCGATGCTAAACGCCAAACTGGGCTTTCGGGGTGGGTTTGTAAACAAACGATAGAGAGCCTCTTGGTTAAACACAACAGGGGGAGAGGGGTTTTTAACCTAATGCCAAAAAGTATCTTGTTAATTAAGATGGAATGGTCTGAATCTCGTGTATTTGTTGCTATGAGATTTGTATAAATTGTTACATACATGCTCTTTTGAGATTTAACGTCATCTTTGATGTTTGCTTCACCATCTCTCAAGAGGGACCATCTCTCATGAGGGAAGCGGAGAGGCTTTGATACTACTTTTAAGTTTTAACATTTCAATCATTTTCTTGATCAAAATAGTGTCTGCTTTGAGTCTACCTTCAAAAGATTTTGCTTTTGGGATGCATCATGGTGACTTCCAAACGGTCACTAATCTATGCACTTAACAATCTTGAATTGTTGGGAACGAATATCTTTGAAAGTTCACTAATCTATGCACTTAACAATCTTGAATTGTTGGGAATGAATATCTTTGAAAGTTCGTGATGTGATTTTGTTTCCCCCACTCCCCTGCCCAAACTAAGAGAATTCCCCAACGGGGAATTGTGATTTTGTTTCCCCCACTCCCCCGCCCAAACTAAGAGAATCCCCAACGGGGAATTGTAAGGATGACCAGGGAATTCAAACAGAATGACCGTCGGTCAGTGCACTTAAATCCCCGACTGGGGATTGAGACCGAGGCTTTGGTCCTGACGAGTTTTGTTATCTTTTTCGTTTAAGATTCTATTTCTATTTTGGTGTTTTCATTAGTTTTATTTTTTTCAGACCTATTTAAAGAGTTGCAAAAATAAATTTTAGGGTTAGAGAGTTGTTGAATAAGAATTTTACACTGAGCCATCGTGCTTATGATTTTTTGTTTTAGCTATTGGTGGATTCCATAGCTAGTGCAAGATCCTTGTTTGAGTTTTTTTGTTGAAGAATCCAGAAGTGCTTGGCAAGACTCTTATCAATCAAGCGATCACACTTGATTGTGACGAGTATCTATCTCGACGTATCCCTTTATTTTTATGTTTGTTTGAAGGTCGATTTGAGCTATCCAAGCTTGATTGTTGTTGCGTGACTTTGACAAAAGAACCTAAACTTTCACGAGCTCGGGATCTTATCAGGTGGTATCAAAGCCCCGTTCAAACTAAGCGACAAGAAAGAGGTACTTTTATTTCGTTTTTACAGTTCACGAAAAAAAAAACAAACAAATTGATTTAGGTTAATGTTCATGAGAAGATGAAAAAAGTGGAATAAAAAAATTTGTTCATCAGCCACAAAGCTGAACATCAATACATAGATATCTTGGATTTTGGTTTGTTTATTTATGGTTCAAAATCAGTGGCAAGGAGAAGATCATATCAAGCGATGGCGAAAGAGATAGAGCAAGGAAATATGTTCTATACTCATTGTTTGGTTCAAGAGAAGGCGTATTCTGTGCTTGTAGATGGAGGGATCAAATCAAATTTGATGAGTGCAAGAACAACGAAGAAATTGGGGCTACCAAGGCGTCTGCATCCAGCTCCATGCATTCTACAGTTTTCGGGCGAGAAGATTTCAAGCGTGGTTGGACAGGTTTCTCTTAAGTTTGCAATTGGTAAATATGAAGACGAGGTATTGTGCAACGTGGTGTCCAAACTTACAAATCATATTATGTTGGGACAAATATGGTTTCAAGGTCGTGGATCTTCTAGTTAGCAGAAGGTCCAAAAGCTTCCGTTTGAAGCATGAGAAGAAGGTTTTCGTTTTGAAACCTTTATCCTCGAAGGAGGCTGTTGATGATTGGAAGACTTTGCAACGATTATAGCGAGAGTATGAAGTAGAGCAGGAAACCATGGAACCGCTTGCAGCACAAATGGTGCAGATGGGAGGCTTGCTTCAAACCATGGCAGAGAAGGAATCGAGTTCGAGGTCGAGTTTTCCTGTGCAACAGGGTTTGAATTTTGAGGAAGTCGACGTTGAGTTAGAGGATTATTCAACAAAGTTGGCGCTACCAAACTGTGAGGTTTATGAAGCGAACAAGGACGAGGAAGAGGACGACAAGCCATTACAAGCTTAGACAGTGAAGCCTTTATTGCCGCCAATGAATATCAAGACACAGCCAAATTTTGGAGTTTCTGTGCGCCAAGGCCAAAGCAGAAGGATTGAATGAGGATGCTACAACCCCATGGAACGAGAATCGATCAAAACAAACCTACTGTATCGATCCTGGAGGGAGTGGAATTGAACTTGTCCATTCTGCGAAAACTGATCATTCTGACATTGACGTTCAATTCTAAGATTGAATGACAACAGACACTTCAAAGTTCATGGACTAGGGCTTGTGGTTGTCGAGCTAGTTGAGCTCTTGATCCCATGAAATTGTGGAGATTGTTAGTTTCTTTTTTATGATGGTGCAGAGAATTTCGTTTGGAAGTCAGACATGAAAGCTTTGAGGGCAAAGCTTCTTTAATGGGGAGGGACTGATCTGATTCTATTTGCCCCACTCCCCGCCTAGAATTAGAGAATTCCCCGATCGAGGAATTGTAAGGATGACAGGGGAATTCAAGCAGAATGACCACCGGCTAGTGCACTTAAATCCCCGATCGGGTATTTGGCCCTGACGAGTTTTGTTACCTTTTTCGTTTTGGATTCTTTTTCTTTTTGGTGTTTTCATTAGATTTATTTTTTCACACCTATTTAAAGGGTTGTAAACACGAATTTTAGGGTTAGAGAGTTGTTGAATAAGAATTTTACACCAACGTGTGGTTTCCCCCTTGGAGTCGATGTGCTTATGGTTTATTGTTTTAGCTATTGGTGGATTCCATAGCTAGCGCAAGATCCTTGTTTGAATTTTTTTTGTTGAATAATCCAGAAGAGTTTGGCAAGACTCTTATCAATCAAGCGATCACACTGGATTGTGGCGAGTATCTATCTCCACGCATCCCTTTATTTTTTATGTTTGTTTGAACTTTGAAGGTCGTTTTTAGCTATCCAAGCTTGATTGTTGATGCGCGACTTTGACAAAAGAACTTAACCTTTCACGAGCTCGGGATCTTACTAATTTGTGAGCAAGGGCTTGGTCTCATAGTTAGTAAAATACGGTACGGGAAAGTTACGTAAAAAATACGTACGGGTATTATACTTTGTTTCTAAGCTAAAATTATGTTTAATAGTACGTTAATAGTCATAAATATATAAAATTAATTATTTTAAAAAATTAATATATACTATAAATAATAGTAACATTAACAATTTAATTTGTAAAATACGGATAATAAACATGTTATACGGGTTTTATACGTGTTTAATACGGGAGCCATCAAATGAACGGGGAAAAATGAAACAGCTTGACAATAATACGGATACCAATAATACAGATATAGAAGTTTTAAACGAATAAAGTACGTACGGGTACATATACGTGTATTAAATGGAGTATTTACTAACTATGCTTGGTCTAGTGGTAATACTCATGCTCTTGAACCTGGAGGTCATATATTTGAATCTCTAGCATTGTGTTTGTTTTGGGGGTAAATTGACGGGTACATAGTTAGGGGGTAATGGGTATTCCCAATAAAATTACACCTATTTGGATATTTATTACAGTAGCAGGGGGTGCATTAAAGGGGTTAATTCCATTTTTTTCTTTTCTCATTTGTTGTCTCTACAGACGACCTTCTCTCTTCCCATTAGTTGTTCTCTTCCCCCATTCATTGCGAAAAAACCCCCCACTCTATCTAAACAAATGGTAAACCCTAGATTTCCAGATTGCAGATTCTGAATCCAGCCGCTCCGGCTCGTCGACTTCAATCAGCCGACGGAGTCTTCTCATCCTCATCTCCCTCCTTGTCTGATATCCTCACTCACAATCTACCGTTTTTGCTAGGGGTGTTCAAAAGGTGTGGTTACCATGGTAACCGTTTTAACCAGTACTATTTGGATAATTTGGTTTGGTTAATTTGGATAATTGGTTTGGTATGGTTAAAGTTTTTAGCTTGTTTGGTTTAGGTGGTTTGGTTTGGTTTCAGACACTCCTAACCAGCCAAACCAAATTAACCCGATAAATAATTAGTTATATATCTAATATATACACATACTTAATACTTTGAATAACCACTCAAGAGTTAAATGTTCATCTTTCTAGACTCATAAAATCTAAAGCTTCATATTGTTCCTATAATGTATATTTGTATATGTAGAGTGTAGACCACAACATATGACCGCTAGGAATGGCAATTACCCACCCATGGGTAATTATACCCAAACCCAAGTAGATCCATTCATAATGGGTTGGGTATGGGTGAAGTGCATATGGGTTTGGAGGTTTGTAAATGGGTTTGGGTAATGTATGACTATTACTTCCATAATCTAAATGGGTAAGGGTTGGATATGGATATCCATTTATTTGAGGGTGTTTTAACTACACATGCACAAATTGGACCTATTTGTAAAACTTGAAAAGTTTAGGTACCAAAATGTAAGACAAAAAATATTTAGGTACCAAAATGTAATTTTCCATCGATATTTTGAGGACTTATATGCAAAAAATTAAATTTAGGTACTAAATATGCATATCTATTAAGTTTAGGTACCAAATTGTAATTTGCATTTGGGCATGGATGTAAACCCAAATCCATTTGTTATAAACCCAAACCCAACCCAAGTAAATGGGTATGGTACAAACCCATCAAAGTCTACCCATATCCATCTATTTGGATTTCATACCCAATCCAATTGGGTTGGATAGTAAAAAACCCATGGGTATTGGCAAAATTGCCATTCCTAATGACCGCCTAATTTAGATAAATCTCATACATTGTGTTGGGTGAAAACTTGAATTTAAGGTCCTTTTTAGCCTATGAAAATTGCTAAAAGACTAGGGGTCGTTTGGATGTGGAAATTTTAAAAGGGTGAATTGCAAGTTTGGTCACCCATATTACACTTTTGTAACACGTTAGCCACCCGAATCCATTTCGCTTCAATTCAGCCACTGATAATACCCCTTTATGTCATCATTGGTCACTCGCCGTTACACACCGTCAACGCCGTTATACTTTTGCTGACGTGGCAAACGGGGTGCCAAGCTGGAACACGGAATGCTGAGTCAGAGGCTTTAATTGAGAACAACACACCCGACCCGTACCCTCTGGAAAACCCCGACCATTGACCTAAAAACCCGACCCATTTGCCCAACCCAATTAAGTAACAAAAATTAAAATAGATTGGATAAGGGGAGAAGAAACGAAAGGCCCTCGTCATCTCCCTTTCTTCTTCCTCTCGTTCGAATTTCCAGAGCAGGGGAAGAGTGATTGATTTTCCTCCTCTTTGAATCTGTCTTCCGCCGGCCGTTTCTTCTTCTCTTCTCTTCTTCTCTTCTTCTC